GTGTCTTCCGGGAGGACTTTTGAAATGGAACTACCCCATATTTGTGTATCACACTGGAGAAAATCCGGAAAACTCCAATCAGATAGTCGCCATCAAACGCCATCGAGTCTCCTCTTTTTCCGTTGTGTCTAATCCTCAGTGTCTGCAGTGCGGGATGGACATCCCATGAGTAATTTACTTATGGATGAGGGAAAGAGTCAGCTTCTGTTGTGATGGAATACCCCTAGGTAGAAGTCAGAACTCCCACCAGGTAGTCCAATCATATGGGAGGAAATCCGAAAAACTCCCACGAGGTAGTCTAATTAACGAGTGAAGATGCTGAACACCACAAACGCCATCGAGTTTCCTCGCTTTTGAAACAGTGTCATTAAAATGCCGTCAGTAGATTGAACTTCAGTCCTAACGCTCGTCAGCGGCGCACGTTAACATTGCCATTCTTGGCGTCGTTCTTGGCTTGCATGTTCATGTAATATTTGATTCAAACTTCAGAAGCATGAATAAATAAAGAATAATTTCATAGATATATTAAAAAGTAAACTGGCAGAAAGTATAAAAATCAAAATAAAAACACCACAGTAAAAGATATTGTTTTTCTTCCAATAAAGCATGAAAATTAATTACTTAAAAGAAAAGCATTTTTACCCTTTTAGAAAAACAGATCACTAAATAACAAAATACGAAACAATAGAGAAAAAAAATGAAATTCAAAAAACAGAATAAAATTAATGCATAACGAAATCAAAAGCGAATGACTGTGATAAAAAAAAATCTGAATAAAATTGATAAAAAGAAATGGAACAACCGTTATGTGTAATTGATTCTAAAATCTCAATTCACAAGATGAAACATAATACAAAATTTAATTAAAAATGGTGACCGAATGACATATATACATGACATAGATAGACATATACAGGGTAGATCATATTATTGTCTACTCTATATTGAGAGCAAAATAACCCTAAGTCATGTTTACTTGATGTATTCTTACAATTTAATATATGAAAAAAAACATGTTTTTGCTTAATTCCGCGACATTTCAATTTGCACTTTTTAAAGAGCACAATCAAAGCAGTTAACAGTGCATGGTAAAAAAAAAACATTTCAAATGCATGTAAACCATTTATGCGTTTCACAAATATTTTGAGAAATCCTTTGCAAACTTAGTTCAAAAAGTAATTTTTGTGCTCATAAATTTGTTCTCTACCAAATTATAATTTTATTTAAAACTTCAAAGAAGAACATTTTCTGAAGTGAAAGGGTTTTTTTTTTTTTATAGTTTTTTTTCTTAAAAGAATTCTTTCAACAAAGCATGGAAATAGAATATTTAGAAAAAAAAAAAAAATGGCTCTAACCATTTCAAAAATAGGTCGTTTACTAATAAATTGCAAATACAATGGGGAAAAATGAAGGGCAAACAGAAAAATAAAAATTGATGCATAATAAAATCAAAAATCGAATGACTGTATTAAAACAGCAAGAATAAAATTAAAGTAGACGAAACTGAATAAAAGTTACGTGTAATTTATTTATGCTGAAGTCCCAATTGACAGAATGAAGTATAATAAAAATTTTATTTAAAAATGGTGAAAATGCAAATAAAATACATATATAATAATGCAAATTATAGATTAAAACTCCATATAGAATGCAAAATAACCCTAAAACTTTTTTGATCTATGTTTTACATTTTAAAATTTGAAAAAAAAAAAATATTTTTGTTCAATTGTACAAAAATGGCTTGCACTTTGAAAGAGCACACAACTGTTAGTAGCATATGGCTGCCTAGTTTAAAAGAAATATTTAAAATGAATATAAATTAAGTCATTATGGGTTTTAAAAAATACATAATACATGTTACCAAACTTCATTCAAAAATGATTTTGTTCTCGACTTAGTTTTCCATGGAGTTAAAACTTTATTTAAAACATTAATTTCTGACGTACAAGATTTTTTTTTTTGTCAAGAGTTTTTTCTAGATTTTGAGAAATGAAAATTAATTAGATAAGAACTAAAACATAAAACTGCATTTGATTTTTCACAATTAGTTGAATAGTGACCATTTCATTTAATGTCATTCATAGCGATATAATCTTTTACATTAACCTTAAATTAAAAAGCCATATAGTCAATTCTCAAATTTTTGCTGATTTTAATGATTATATAATCACAATATATAATTTCTAGATTATAGATAAATAATATAAACCATACATAATTATTAACTTAAAAGTCATATTTTTATCATATAACTCAATTGATTCCGAGTCTTTCATTTTAGCAATACTCTCAAAAGGAAATATAGCAAATTTTATATTATATCTAATCGAAGCGGCGTAATTTCCCATTCAAGTAAAATGGGAGGCATAAATCCCATTTTCTCACAGCCAAACGAGGTTTTATGTCAAACACAACCTCTGTTCTCACAACAACGATTTTCTATATCCAAAGAATATATGAATATATAGAATGAAGGATTAACGTATAAAGATAACCATTTATATAAAAGATGTCATTTCACGTTCAGAGCAAAAATGTTGAAATGCGTTATACTCAAGAAAAACATTGCTCAATAAAAAATAATTCTGAGTATTTCTGATGCATTTTCTTCTGTTTGTAGAATGATTATATTACATGGTATTTTATTTCATCATATAACGTACAAAGGAAATGAGAAATGATATGCTATATACGAGTACGTATGCATATCAATATAAATAGAAACAAAGTAATGTTATTGTATGAGGTTGCGTGCTTTACGATGATAGTAATTTTTTACGATATTATAACATAAACAAGTGTTCCTTCATATTAATCTATAATCTATTTTTTAATTTATTTTTAAATAAACCTGAGTCTTTTTTATGAATTTTTCTTCTGTTTGTATAATGGTTGTATCACACGTATTTTATTTCATTACATTGCGTATAAATAAAATGAGAAATTATATGCTATATATATGTATATGAGTATGTATGCATATCAATATAAATAGAAACAAAGTAAATGTTATAGTACGAGGTTTCGTGTTTTATGAAGATAGTAATTTTGCGATATTATAACATTAATAAGTGCTCATTCATATTACTCTATAATATGTTTTAATTGTTCTTATTTCTCACAAACATTGTATTTATTCCAGAATGTTAAATAAATTCTGAAGAATATCAATTATTACGTCAAGAACAATTTATTTTTATTTTTCTCTTAATGTTATGCACAAAAACAAATCATACAATTAATGCCAAAAATAAACAAAACACGTTAGAAACATTAATCCACAATTCCAATTCATCCAATATATATATATATATATATATATACATATATATAGGAACAAATTAATGTTATGGTATGAGGTTTAATGCTTTACGAAGATAGTAATTTTACGATATTATAACATAAATAAGTGTTCATTGATATTAATCTACAATCTACTTTAATTGTCCCCTATTACCCACAAACATTGTATTTATTCCAGAATGTTACATAAATTCACACGTCATTAATACTTTTTTTAAATTTTTCTTGTAATGTTATACACAAAAACAAATCATACAATTAATGCCAAAAATAAACGAAACACGTTTGAAACATCCATCCACAATTCTACATTACATCGACGTATAAAGAGATTATTCCTTAAAACCTGTTGCAATAACTCAAGTACATTACTCTTTTAAAGTACAGTTTGCACTCCCTCGTTCAGAAAGCTGTACAAATTCTAGCAATTATTAGCCACGAGGAACAAAACCGTTCCTGTCTCATTTGCATACCATTATCCATAAAGGGAAGTGACATAACACGTACACAGATAATGAAGTCCAGTTGGCACGCTTCATTCTTCAACCCAACTTCCTACAGTTATTCTGGCACTGTAGGTAAAAACCATAAGCTAAAGGAAGGGAGGGCATTCGTTGGAAAAATACAAGAGTTTTATATCTGCCATTAATTTTTCAAAGAATGTTTTTTTTTTTTTTTTATTATTATTATTATTTCTCCTTTTTATTTTCATCCTAAAGCAGTCCTTTTTCCAAAGAGGGGGGGAACCTTCTTAATATTCAGCACTTTTCTCGCGTTTTAACAGCGTTAACTTTTCTCCAGTCACGGACCGGTGCTGGAATATAGCCAAAATAAAGACTTGAAGTGAGAGAAAGGATCCGTCGCTCGATTCGCAACGACGATTCTCGGAGAAAAAAGAAAAGAAGGGGTCTGGGGGATGGGGGGAGAGAGAAAGAAAGAAAAAGAAAAGAATAAGAAATGAAAGGAGAAAGTTTAGGGAAAAGGAAGTAAACAAAAGATTTACCAAATGGAACACAGCAATCACTTTAGCGATAGCGAGAAAAAATGTAAGTTGGGGATCTCCAGCAAGAAATTAACTGCTTCATTTTCCCCGCGGCACTTTTCGCATCCTGATTTCCCTGAACCGGATATTTCACCAGGAGGTCTCACCTAAGCACTGATGGAAAAAATGAGTCTACACCGGAACACTCAAATGTCGGAAGTTTTTATAATAAATCGATTGATACAGAAGAGACAATTTAGAATAATGAGATAACCCCTGGCAATGCGAATACGCAGAGGCTTCCAAAATAGTGAGACAGCCATACAATCTTAGTTCTGTCACTCGTTCTGAATTACAAAAAATAACATATTATTGTTTTAAAAAAGGCACATGAAAACAAAAAGGTTTTTAATTAATGTTCTGTAAATCAATTAATAAAATAATTTTCAATTTTCATTATTAATGGCGCAGCAGCCTCATGATGGGCCGAGGCCGTCTGCCTGCTGGCAGATTTCTAGATAGGATTTTTTTTTTTTTTTTATAAGGTAGTATTGTCAGAACCACGCCCAACGTTCTACAACCATATTAGACAGGGACTTACGGTTTAAAGTGGATTCGAACCATTACAAACATCCATGACACCGCCGGGACCCGAACCCGAAACTTGTAGCACCGAGTGCTAGTCACTCGGCCATAAGGCCCTTAAAAGTACAACATCCCCAGATGAGGCTCGAACTCACAGTCTCAGCATAACTCGCAAATACTGCTTATAAGTACAGCGCGTTAATTAATTGCGTCACTGGGGATCAAAGACCTTCTCTAGCTATTAATAAGCCATAAATAATCTCGCCCGAACAAGGACTCGAAAACTGGACCGTTAGTTCACAAGCCCAATGCTGTACCGACTTTGCTATCAGGGCTCAATTTTCATTTTGTAAGTGAAAAATTCAGATATCTTAAAATTTCTTCAAAAAAAATGCAAATGTCTCGACCACAATTTAAAAATTAAATGTTTTAAGCATTTAAACTCAGCGCAATAAAAATACTAAATACAATAAATGTTTTAACATATAATTTTTTAGTGAAAGCAAAAACGATTTTACAAACAAATTTTGAAGAAACTGAAAAAAAATTCTTCTCCTTAATTCAGCATGATTGTTTTAATATATTTATTAAACATTTCTTTCATGATTTGTAGCTAAAGTAAGCTATTTTAAATAAAAATATATAATAATTCTAACTCTATTCAAAGCCTATCTGTACATAAAGAACATGGAAATGTAAGTTTCATAAAAATACCCATAGCTATCCGATATTTCTGTTTTATGATATAAGCAGGAAAAATAAATCTATCAAATAACGAGACATACACAAACATATATGAATGACAGTCATGTTTACCGCTAAGCTATGTCAATCATATATGTATGACGTCTTCTCATGAATAAAATTCTTAGTCTCTCATTTATGGACGATGGCATATGGAAATTTAATGGCTGACATCTAAACACAGCTCGACATAAAGTTACATATAACTTTTCAATGATCTCCTGCTTATTATAATAAATAGACTGATGTTGCATATTTAAATATTATATGTAATAAATCCAATACATTCCCTCTGAAGATAGGTTTCAGTGTAAAAACAACCATTAAATATTTAACGTTAGCCTTTTAGTTAGTTGTTGTTTAAAGTTTTATTTTGTTGTTTAAAGTTAATATTTTATAATAAATGGATTGTTGTTACATATTCAAATATTATATGTAAATCCAATACGTTCACTTTAAAGATAGGTTTCAGTTTAAAAAAACCAATAAATATTTAACGTTAGTCTTTTTTGTCTTTGTTTAACGTCAGTCGTTTATAGAAAATAGACTGATGTTACACGTAATTAATATAGGTTAAATATTATATGTAAATCCAATACATTCACTTTGAAGATAGGTTTCAGTGTAAAAACAACCATTAAATATTTAACAGCTTTTAGTTAGTCTTTTTTGTTGTTTAACGTTAGTGGTTTATAATGGACTGATGTTATGTTATTCAAATATTGTATGTAAATCCAATACATTCACTCCGAAGATAAGTTTCAGTGTAAAAACAACCATTAATTATTTAACGTTAGACTTTTTGAGAAATATAGATATAATTAGTTAAGTCTGGAAATTAATAAAAATTAGAGGATAATTCCGGATAATTTAGAGTTCTGGAAAAATAAATAAATGTTTTAATAACGAAATTTTTTTAAAAAGGAAACGATTGAAACATATTTTTTTTCAGTTATTGCCAATATTCCCTATCAAAATATTCGCCAAAAGGTATCCAAGCAGAAATCCAAACATCAGAAACATGGGAATGTTGAAGCACGGAATGTTTTAAAAGATTATTACACAGACTTGGAAATTAAAATGGCTGAAATCTAAACGCAGCTCGATATGAATTATTTATAACTTTTCAATGATTTGGTGATTATTACAATAAATGGACTGATGTTACATATTCAAATATTATATGTAAATCTAACACATTAACTCTGATGTAAAAACATCAGAGTTAGATATTACATTAGTCAAAAGTCTAACGTTAAATATTTACAAGTAAACTAAATATTTAACGTCAGGATTTTTGAGAAATATAGACATAATTAGTTAAGTGTACGATAATTTAGAGTTCGGAAAAACAAATAAATGTTTTAAATGGCGAAATTTCTGTAAAGGAAAAGCGTTGCAAGCATACTTAATTTTCAGTTATTGCCATTATTCCCTATCTAAATATCCGCCGAAAGGTATCCAAGGAGAAATGCAAACATGAGAAAGATGGGAATGTTGAAGCACGGGATGTTTTTAAACAGATTATTAGGGACTTGGAAAGTCATTATAAAGAGGAAATCAAGCAGGAGGGATGCTGCCCAAGTTTGAATTAATTGTACGGTAATAAGCCCTCCTAGGGTTAATATACGGGCGAAAATAAATATACATTGAGAGAATTTTATAGACTGCAGAATTAATAACCATGGACTTTACATGGATGACTTACCACGAAAATTGGACATTGAATTACAGTTGATGTTCAAAGTTTGGAAGACTTTAATCCATTTATAAAGAGAGAATTAAAAGTATGTAGTTTATTAAGCAATCGTTTAATTAACCAGGTTTAAAAAAAATAATAATAAATCAAGAACCATTTTCGATAGCATTTTATCATTTCATTAAAAAATAAGTGGGTTCAAATTAATTTATAGTTTAATCGCCATTAAATGTATATTTCCATAAAACTTATTAACTACTAATATTTCAAATATTTACAGTGTACACATTTGTTTCTCTTATAGAATATAGTAAATCTATATGCTTTACATCAACATTAATTAAAGCACCCTAATTTATCAAAAATTTAAATAGAATGTAAGTTACAAGAATAACATGCACAGTAACAAGAACCATAAAAACTAACACAATTAAACTAAAATGACTAATAAAAATAACTATTTAATAAAAACAAATCCAATCATGACTTCAAAGAAAATTGGATTACAGCTGCTTAAATAGAAACTTCTGCGGGTTCGATACCTACGGGTAGCGTACACACAGACTATTTAAAACCGCATGTAAAGAGCTATTTTAAATCGCAAATTCGCATATATAGAATTTTAAAATTGCGAATCTCATGCGTGCATAGCTGTAGACAATTTAAATTAAAAACTGGAAAGAAAAACTTCCTTCAATATTTTCAGTTGGTTGGATGTTTTACTTCGTTTCTGGTTGTCGCTCTACGATCATTTTTGCACACTTTAGGATAATTAGACTGGGACCTACTGTTTAAAATGGAACAGAAGTTTAAAAATAGAACCAAATCACTAACAAACATCCATGAGACAGCCAGAATTCGAACCTGAAAACCGTGTTATCAAATGCCAGATTGGCCATCAGGACGCTGATGTTTTACTTCAGTAACTGATGCAAAATTGTTAGGAGAAAACCGGTCTCGCCATAAGAATAAAATTTTAAAAAATAAAAGTACAAAATAAAGAATTTAAAAATGTAAAAATTAAAATTTTATCTCTAAAAATGTAATCTCTTATCTTAAGCTTAATCTCTTATCTTTTTTATCTCTTAAAATTTTCATCTCTGAATATGAAAAGTAGAGCATTATTTTATAAATAACACTCTTTAATAACAACTGGTTTGTTCTTTAAGAATGAATTTAAAAAATGAAACGGATTTCATACGCATCCTGACAATATACTTCGCTGTAATCAATTTAAATTAAAAACCGAAAATAAAAACCTCCTTCAATATTTTCAGGTAGTTTGATGTTTTACTTCGGTAACTGCGCAAAATTGTTAGGAGAAAACCGGATCTCTCTATGCAAATAAAATTTTAAAAAATAGAAGTACAAAAATAAAAAATTAAAAATATAGTGAAATGTAATAAATGAGCGAAATAATATATTAAAATGTAATAAATGTAAACAAAATGTAGAAAAACACAAATAAAAGACTAAGATCTCACTATGCAAATTAAATTTTTAAAAAATAGAAGTACAAAAATAAAAATCTTAATGTACTGAAATGTAGTAAATGATTAAAATAATGTAATAAATGAGTGAAATAATGTATTAAAATGTAATAACTGTAAAAAAATATAGAAATTCAAAAATATAAGGCTAAAAGCATCTGAGTACAAAGCGTTCAACAGTGAAATTTATCTATTTTAAAATTCGTTAAATATATCCCATAAATTTTACCTACCATTAAAATTTTTATCTCTAAATATGACAAGTAGAGCATTATTTTATAAATAATGCTCTTTAATAACAACTGGTTTGTTCTTTAAGAGTGAATTTAAAAAAAAAAAAGAAACTGGTTTCATGCGCATTCTGACAATGTATTTCGCTGTAACCAATTTAAATTAAAAACCGATAATAAAAACCTCCTTCAATATTTTTAGGAGGTTTGATGTTTTACTTCAATAACTGACGCAAAATTGTTAGGAGAAAACCAGTATCACTATGCAAATCAACTTTTAAAAATAGAAGTACAAAAATAAAAAACTTAAAAATGTAGTAAAATGTAATAAATGTAAAAAAAAAAAAAATGTAACAGATGTACAAAAATAGAAGGATAAAAAAATCTCATAACAAATCATTCAACAGTGAAATTTATCTATTTTTAAAATTCGTTAAGTATATGCCATAAATTTTATCTACCATTAAAATTTTTATCTCTAAATATGACAAGTAGAACATTATTTTATAAATAATGCTCTTTAATAACAACTGGTTTGTTCCTTAAGAGTGAATTTTAAAAAATGAAAGCGGTAACGATCGAGTTATGCCTGACCAGAAAATGATAAAAAGATCTAACTTTCCCCACTATTTATCTCTCTTGTTCTGCTTGACATTAAACTAGGTCAAGTCAGCTTCAAATTTATCGATATTCAAAATTTTTACGAACACAACTGAATAAAAAAGGAATCCAATCTCGGATTTTCTTTTCTTTTCTATTTTACTTTTCAAAAACTTCAGCTTTTCAATAAAATGTTCACATGTCTTTAATCAGATCAAAACTGCTTTCAATACCTTTTTATTCATAGGCGTAGACTGTATTAGTTAAGCAGTTTATATTATTTGGATATAAATTAATACTGGTAGTTCCAGTAATAGTTTAAGTTTAAAACCATATACAAATGTTTTTCAGTATATAAACCTTTGTACTTTTCTTCAATTTTTTAATATTTTGGTTTGGAGAGAATCCTTTTCAAAAAGTGAAGTTTAAAACGAATATATATATACATTTCTTAAAAC